ACTCGGTTTTAACTCAGCCCAGGGGCGCGAATCCGTTTAAACCAGGCGAATTTCAGATTGGCTAGCTAGAGGTGAAAACTGTTTCATCATCAGAACCAACACGCCTCATTAAGAGGAACACTAGACAATTTTCATTCTGTTTAATCATGAGTTACAAATCTTCAGCGTTATTTCAATAGAAGAAAATCATTTTTCGAAAAAACGTTTCTACGAACAAATAACTTTGCAAAAGTAAATAATTTTCCTGCCTCAGCAGCTAACTATAAATTTGAATAAGGCAAGAACGACAAATATGTACCAGGATAATATGAGCCCATTTTTTATTATTTCACGGATTCTTCTCTCTACTGGCTACAACCTGAACAATATAAATTACATTAAAGATTTGAATACACTTTTTCTACGATGACGAGGAGTAATTGGTGGGAACTAAGAGTAACGTGATCATATCTCCTGACAGTGAAAACTACGCAGTTAAATCACCCAGCTCATAGAACACAACCACATAAAATTCATCCACCTGAGCTACGAATCTTCTCTATAATTAGAAATTTGTCGCACCTGTGAATAAATATACCTAATTGCTAAACTGTTACCTCATAGACAACTACTAGACCTGAGTGAGACTTAATCTATGTGTCCGTTAATATATTGAAAAAGATGAATAACCGTCAAACCATCAGAAAGTAATATAACACAATGCACTGCATCTAAAACACATCATAGAAATGGGCTAGTCACACTTCTTGAACAAATGTAAGACTTGTGTTCATACAAACCATACCTATTACACTGACGCACATGAAATTAGGAGTCCTATGCATGAATACCTCTTTATGTACCAAATATTGTGTAGACTGGTAAACGAAAAGGACGATTTAAATAGTACAATACAGGTATGACTTTATGCTTGGAACTCTTGGACTTGAAGCAATATGCCCTCTGCAGCCTAGTGCTTCATGGCTTTAAATGAATACCTAACCGACGCTGGTATGTGATGCATTTCACATTGGGAATAAGATAAAAACAGGAATACGTCGCAGTATTCTACCCTGCTACATACACCATAATTGCTTGCAAAATTGAAGGCTATACAAACGTAGATAAAAAAACAAGAAGAAAATGTAACTGAAAGTTTGCTTTAGAGGATGAAAGATGGGAATAGAGAATTGTGGCGATAAAAAATAGGAATGAATAAACAAGGTATGAGTGTATTTGCATCACTGCACCTGTTGTCTCGAAGTTCTGCTTCCAGTGATCACATAAACTCAGGCGAGAAATAACTACTACTTATTGATATACCTTTGAGGAGGGAAAAGGGGGATTTGAATCCGGAAGGTATTAACTGAAATCCTAGTGCCAAAACCAAACATGAAATTCACATCTGGTCTTTAATCTAGTACTTAAAAAAAACAACTTATTTTTAGGATAACTACGTGGCGTGAATACTATTAAAGCATGAAAGAAAACAAAACACATAGACATGAAGGAGAGAAAATAAGTTAGTTATAAAGTGAGAAAGGCTTTCGAAAAATAACTCAATTTCATTACACTTTCAGAAATCCATAAACATATTTGTTATCTGTTCATCATAAACTGAATAAATAGAATACACACATTACGCCCCATCATAATTACCAAATGAAGTTAAATGAAATGTATCTGCAATGCAACATAAAATAATAATAATAGTAACTATCGACAATCAATTGAAAGAGAAAAAGGTAAACTAAATTTCTACTCTACAGTTAGTGTAACATAAACAAAACATTACGGGTTTTGAGTACTGAAAACGAAATGTGAATAATGCCAAAATGAATGATTATATCTTCATGAGTTTGTTTGTAGGGATTTAATTTGTTTCAAGTTTGACCACGGATTGATATCAGTTAGAGAAGAATCGGTAGTGAGGACAAACACTCGCCATAGATAACATTGGCTGGTGCTAGTCATATTAAAACCACGAATTGGTAGAAGTTAGGAATTTGTCGCCTGACCATTAAGTCAGATCCCAGTGGCTGGATGGTCTACAAGTCTGACTTGCAACCGGAAAACCCTAGGTTCGAACCCGGTTGGTAAGTGAGTACTGCTGATGGGTTCTGAAATAAGACGAAACAGTTGTCCAGTACTCCTTGTGGTTCTCTAACTGATAGCAATCTGTGATCAAACCTGAACGATTACAGATAAATTTCAACGTTCATTTCATCACAAACCAACATCAATTTGACACGAAAAGCATTGAGCAGATATTTGATTCCAGTCTGGGACTGCTCTTTAGCAGTATGCACCCACCAAGAACCATTAGGTTACAAAACAAATGTATTGACCGTTCATCAGCCAGTGGGATTGGAATTAAGTGAGAAGTAAACTCTGACTGCTATCACTATCAATTCACTATAAAGCGAATGCTTATCAATGGCATTATTCCAGTGGTAGACTAGATTACATTGAGTGCTTTAAGGTTACTACTTAGTAGCCGTAGGAGTAAAGAGTATCGTGACTCAAAATCTTTATCTCAGCAGTTATGTGTTAACAGAAATACCTCGATCACTAAATTGCATATAAATAAATAAATAAATAAATAATAGAATGATATCAGTGAATCACACAAATGAAATATTTTTTCTAAAAAAAAGCAGCATATTTATAAGTGCGTTTTATCTATTCAAATAATAATAACAGTAATAATAATAATAATATACGACTTACAATCTTAATTGTATTCACTTCAATACACACTCCAAGGAGACGTACAATATCTGGATGATTTAATCGATGCATTGTGGCAATTTCATTCAAGAAATCGCATGTCTCATCGCCGATCTGTTTAATATCCATTATTTTGATAGCAACTTGGACAACACGTCTTGCATCTGTATGCCATACACCCTGGGAATAAATTTAAACAACATTCAAAATAATGACAAAATAAAAAAATAAGTAAATATTGGTTACTAAGGTATAATCATTGATGTTTCAAAGTACAATTTCCAGTCAATATACATATACTGGGCTGAATATTTTCTTGAGGCACAAAAACATAGGCTGTTTATTTTGATCATGTATGATCTCAACACCTCTGTTATATTGGTTGGTGAAAAACAACAAGACTCAGTGTTTCATTGTTTCTTTAGTTTAATTTTTTTTTAAAAAAAACATATCTTGACTATAATAACATTAACAAAAACAGCAACGGTAAAACGGAATCCAAATTTAAGAAATTCTTTCACCGGTACTTGTTTGGGGTTGAAGGGGGTTAGGATTAGGAGAAAGAGCATTCACGGGTAATGAAATGAAGATCACCTGAAAATTGGAAAGGATAAAAAACAGACTTGCTAAACACTCAGCAATTTTCATTAGTCACCAAACTCATGTTATCCATAAACTAAGTGGATATTTATGTAGTTGAGTGGTTGGAGGCAGTAGACAGGAAGCCTTGGATCTAGGATTTTGTGCTTGTCAGCATTGACCAATCAGCAAGGTGTAACTGTAATCGTGAAGGAACTCATGTTCTCTTTGAGATTCTAACCAATGTCACCCAGTGGTGTAGTCAGAGACGTTACCACCGAGCAATTAGCGAATAGCGATTGACTGTAATGGATGGGACAGTAGATAGTAACTAAAGCCATGCATCTAGTCCTTAGTTTGATGAAGACTGAATTGTAAACTTGATTGACAGGATTTAGTCTGCACCAAACGAAGAGTTAGACACATGACATTAGTTACTACCCAGTGTTCGATCAATAGCAATGAGCTATATTTATTGTCTAAGGCCTGAGGAGGCTGATTATTTATTACCAAAAGCTTTTTTAAACACAAACAGTCAGGAGGTCAACAGAGCTAGACCAGTAGGTCACAGCATCACAACAACAACTTTTATATGAATTATCACTATTCAATAGATTAGAAAAGTTAAAAATTAAGTAGACTCCCTTTCATATATTAATAACAACAAACCAATCCTTGAAATGCACTGCATTTCTAAGTATTGCACAAAACTTACAAATCATTGTCATATGACTCATACAAGAAATTGTGTTACACATGACAGTGGATAAGAGTGCAACAACATCACATCACCATATGTGAAACAATTGTGTGTAACTAACTAGAAAAAGATTATCGGACAACGTACACAGCCTGAACCAATCCAGATGTTGGCTTATTTTGTGCACATTTTAGATCATTTCATAAAGTAATCGTTAGAAGGATATTTTAATTCACCTTTTTCTGTGCTTTTCTAGACAACAAATGTTGCATTGGCATACACAACATTATACATTTCAATCATAATGTAGGGATGACAATTTTGTTGACTAATCTACCCCCGTTTTCATCCACATATGCTATTGAGGTGCAGTATAGTGTAATGTTTCTTTTGTGTCTGTTAACACAAGCTTCAGTTATCTCCATTAAGGAATATGAGTGTAACTTACTAGACAAACAATATTAGGTGAAGTGGAATAGTGGTGGAGAACAGTGACCAAAATATGACGTCAATCCATACACGTTTGGGCCAAACAGGATGGTGTATAGATTGGAGTCTTCAAGATTCTTGGTGAGATCGACATCATACTGGCTATCATCGAAATTCTGAACATCGACTATTCTGCATTAAATTAGCTCCCTCACACTCACTTATTTTTGTCTATTATGATGTCAATACACACAGACGAAGACCAACAAGTTGGAAGAAGAGGCAGCAAAGGCAGGACTTCAATTGAACAATTAAGAAGACGGAAGTGATCAAAATAACCAACTAATAATCGCAACAACAACAACAATCACTAGTCACTCCACCTATCTAGGCACCATGGTTTCAAATACAGGCATGCTGCACTGATGAGGGTATCAAAAACACAATGGGAAAGGCAAGACATACCTTCATAACTCTGGAATCAGTTCGGAAATGTACAATCAGCATAACCAACAAAATTCGGATTTTCAACACCAATGTAAAGTCATTTCTTCTGTATGAAACAGAAACTTGGTCAAAGCGTCACAAAAAGAGTTTCCTACAGCTTGCTAGAGACTTTCATCAAAAGGTTACTTCTTTGGAAATCAAATGACCAGCCAGGAACAATTATCAAAAATGAACTCTGGAAGCGAACTAACCTATCAAATATTTCAAAGAAAATGGAGACGGAGTGGAACACGTTGAGAAGACCGTCAAATGACAACTCACACTAGGCTATCGGTCGAGTGGAACCCGAATTGGAAACGATGAGTTAGACGTTTACGGGTGACATGGAAGAGGTCTTGTGGGGAAGAGATGAGAGCATATGGGCAGTCGTGGGGCCAGACTGAAAAGGACTGCAGACAACAAGACAAAATGAAGACATTCTGTTGAAATCCCATGTTCCACTCTGAACCCAAGGGAATAATAATAATAATAATGAATGTATTACAATACATTCTTGTTCTCTTATTTTACGCATACTTTTTGAAAGTATGGAGAACCCAACTGGTGAACCGCTGTAAAACATTTTCTACTGGTCTATCGATCCATTTATACCCAAGCATGAAATATCTTCACATGATCTTAGCTCAGAGAGCCGAGAAGCGACTTGGAAGAGGTCATGTGAAGAG